TTTGTTATTTTTATTGGGATGAGATCCTATAATATACACAGATTACAAGCTTTAAAAATACCTTAGGCTCATCTCTCAGTTGTGCCTTTTACTGAATAAGACATCCCACTGCTACTTGAACTCAGTTCTCTTTCCTATAAGATAAACATGGCAGCCAAGTGCTGTAGTGTTTGTCTTTAATCCCAGCACTAGAGAGGCAGAGGAAGGGGGATCTCTGTGAGTTCGAGGCCAGCCTGGTCTACAGAGCGAGTTCCAGGACAGAGAAACCCTGTCTTGAAACTTTCCCTTGTAAAAAAGATCATTATGACAATAACAGAACCTGTCTCACAAGTTCCCATCCTCCTTCCCTCCAGCCCTCTCTTCCTCCTCCTTCTCTTCCTCCTCCTTCCTCTTCCTCTCTTTATATCAAACCCAGGGCCTCATGTACGGGAGGCAAACATTCTACCAACTGAACACTATCCCTAATCTACACAAGCAGTCTTTTACTATGTGTTTCTTACCATTGTAAGAAAGAAATTTGATTAGTAGTGCCTGGCTTGGAGTAAGCACCGGGTAAGTGGTGACCAAGATTAACACTGGTAATAATAGAATATCACAATTGGTGACTGAAATACTCCTGTCTTCCATAAATGATGAACTGATCAGGAAACACCAGATAGGGTGTGTCAGTCTGATGCTCCACTTCACTGTTGACTCATGTGCTTAGCACACTGTGATGGTATTTGTGCTCTAACAAATAAAGCTTGCCTGGAGATCACAATGTGGAGCTAGCCACTAGTTAACCATAGAGGCCAGGCAGTGCTGCACACACCTTTAATCCCAGCACTTGGGACCGCATGCCTTTGATCCCAGTACTTGGGAGGCACACACCTTTAATCCCAGCACTAGGGAGGTGGAGACAGAAAGTGATATGGCTGAGTGGAGAGAGGAATATAAGGCAGGAGGAGACAGGAGCTCACCCCTTTCAGGCTGAGGAGTTATAGAGGTAAGAGGTGACTGTGGATGCTTTACTTCTCTTATCTTTCAGCATTTACCCTGATATCTGACTCTGGGTTTTTATTGTTAAGACCAGTTAGAATTCATGCTACAGCATACCACTTAGGAGATGACAATGCATGGCATCCAGCTTCAGCCCTGCAGTTGTCTTGACCTCTTCTTCTAGTACCATGGTGGGCCTGGAGCTGACATGATATCCTCTGATGCTCAGTGACTCCAGGAGTGTTCAGGGAGGTTGAAGATGCTGCAATGAAGTGTCACACAGTCTAGGATCATACTTACTGTACTGAGTGTGACCTAGAGCATCACAGAAAGCCTGGCACTGATCAGATTCCTAATTTGGTGGGGAAGTGTTTATGTCCTAATGTTTTTCCTCTTTTAGACAGAACATGTTTTTTAAAAAAATTCTAATTATGTGTTTGCCTAGTGCTATGTAATTATATATCAAGTAAAGATATAATTACAGAGCACTTTAAATTAATATTATTTGCTTGATTGATTTAATGATTCTAGGGCTGTTAGCCTATTGTGCTAAGAACAATTTAGCCAGCTTTTAGCTGAGATGCAGTTCAGATATTGACATGTGATGTGTGGGTGGTTAGCATACAGTTTTTAAAAGCTTTAAAAATATTGCCTCAGGAAAAAAATCTTATATTTTCACTTTGTTGTAATCTAAAAAAAAAATTTCCAACAAATTCAATCTGCCTGTTCATTCTTAAGCTATACATGTAGAGGCTGGATAGATGGCTCAGATTTAAGAATTCAGTGCTGAAGAGCACTTGCTGTTTTTTGTGGAGGGTCAGAGTTCATCTTCTAGCACCCATGTGGGACAGCTCATAACCTCTCAGCAACCCCAGCTCCAGGGGATCTTATGCCCTCTTCTGGCCTCTGTGTGTACTCACACACATGCACACATAGTGTAAATAAAAATGGAATAAGTCCTTTAAAAAGATATTAGACAAATCCTGTTGCAAAAAAAGTGATTGCCAAGTAGGATTTACTCCTTTAGTTTTTATTTGTTCGTTCCCCCAGCGGCAACCCACGGAAGACAGACACCCAAGAGTGAGGTCACAGAAAGGGGAAGCCATGCTTGCTTTTTCCATGGAACTCAGACAGAAGAGTCAGTCCAGCACAGCTGACATAAGTGTGCCCTCATCCTCACAACAATCCTCGACTACTCACTTGCTCTCAACCCCCCAAGAGAATGGAAGCTTGGGACAGTTAGTGCAGTGGGCAGTGGTGACTGCAACATGAAAACCCACCCTGAATCCGTAACTGTGCTGTCTTACTAACAAAAACTGGGATAGGTGAAAACAGGCCAAGACATGGATACGACCGTGATTGGCTCTATCTGTGAGGGTCAGCGAGAAGAGAACATTGAACTTGGGCTTCGAAGGGGTCATGAAGTTTTCCAAGGGAGAGAAACACCACAGACAGGAAGCAGCATCCACAGATATGTATTTTATAATCCCCCACAGCAAAATTCATTCTCCTAAATTTTCAACCATTTTATTTGGTAAGTCGTTTCTATTCCTTGAGAAAACATCGGTGGAGAGTGCAATTGGGAAGTGAACAGTGGACCGGGTAGCTCTGTTGATAGTTGTGCTGGTTAGAAGGTGTGAGTCACTGTGGAGTTTAAACTGGCAGGTTGAGCTGGCACCTCCTGGACCCTTGGGTAGTGATGTGAAGTGTTTCACACACTTTGTTTAACATGCCACATCTGTTGTTCCCAAAGGGTATAGAAAATTGGGTAACCTGGAAGTTCCGCTTCACCCACAGTCATTGTATAGAAAAAGGGCTGCAGATTAACAAAAAAAAAAAAAGAGCAGGCTGCCTTGGCAGACCAGAAAGGGAATTCCCACCTTTGCTTTTTGAAGTGAGCACACACAGATAATTTCCTGTTCATATTTTTATGAGTATTGTCTGGTGACCAGGAAAGGGCCAATCAGTGACAGTCCTTTCGCCGCCCTTCCCAGTGTCGAGCATAGGGAGCTGGAGGTGTTTGAGCTTTCCTAGGCCAGGTCTTTTTATACCACGTAGCACAGCTTGTTGACATCATTCCTTTGAATCTATTCCTCTATCTGGTCACTCAAGCCACAAACATGGGTGTCACCCTTAACACCTCTCTTAAGCACACTCCTCTGCACAGCCACTGCAGCCACATGAGCACTTACTAAGACTTCCCTTTTGTCTCCTGGGTGGCTGAGGTGGCTTTGTACCCCACTGCCATTGAGCTAAGGCGCCACCATCCCCTCCTCCACCTCCCCACCAGCTTACTGGCCCCCTAACTGATTCCTTTGCCTCCTTCTGTTGGAAAATGCAGATCCCAGAATGAGTCTTTTCAAATAGCCTCCTCTTCCTCCTCCTCCTGGTGTGAATGTATGTGTGTGTGTTTGGGGGGTGAGGTGGGAGCTGAGACTGACATTGAGTGTCTGTTGGCAAAGGGTCTCTTGATAGACCTGAAGCTCATTAGCTAGCTGGTCCAGGGGACCCTCTATCCTCTGGCTTTGCCTTCTGGCTGAGTTGGGCAATGGCTGATCAGTAGTTTTGTGGGTTCTAGGGACTAGATCCAGTTCTGGTCTCCATTCTTGTCCACAAACACTTGATCCATTGGGACATCTCCTCCATCCTCTTCTTTTTTTTTTTTTTTTGGTTTTTCGAGACAGGGTTTCTCTGTGTAGCTTTGCGCCTTTCCTGGAACTCACTTGGTAGTCCAGGCTGGCCTCGAACTCACAGAGATCCGCCTGGCTCTGCCTCCCGAGTGCTGGGATTAAAGGCGTGCGCCACCACCGCCCGGCTACATCCTCTTCTTTAGGCCTCCTGTGGTCTGCCCTGCACCCAGGCTCTTACCACACAGGCTCACTGTTTTCAGTCTGACCTCAGAGCTTTGCATTGGCAATGGCTTGGTAAAATAATGATTGCTAGAATTTATTGATCAACTTGTATGTGTCAGATACAAACTAAGCCCTGACAGTTGATTCTCCTGTAATACTGGCAGCTGTGGAAGTAGGTCCCCATCCACCACATTCTATGAAGAAAGAAAGGGTTAAAGATGTAAAGTTTACCCAAGTCTAAACTTCTTAATATTAGATAGACTAGTAAATATGTAGTCAGTCAGGGCACGTGCCGTGCACAGTGAGGTCATCCAGCCGGTGCTGCCAAAGCTAAATGATAATGCTCAAAAGACCTGGGCTTAACAGTGTGACTGTAGACAGCTCACCTCTGAGAGTCAATTTTCTCATCAACAAAAATGTCATCTAATCAATACTTGTCTTCTTTGATTGCCATATAGATCAGGCTAAGCAGTGTCATGGTGGGTCTCTAACACAGCCAATATATATGTTAAATGAAGACGGGAAATAGTTCCCCTGTGGAAAAAACTGAGACACTTAAGTCACCCTGGCTCACTCTGCAGGACTTTTCATGTTATAAGGAGAGCTTAGATGGACATAGAGACCACAGAATCTAAGAGAAACATCTAGAAGAAGGATAATAGAAACTGAAAAATATGGTCCCTAAGGCAATAAAAAATTGTCTAGTTAACTTAAAATGTATTTCTAGATGTGTTTTAATAACTTCAGTGATACAGAGTTATTTAATTAGAAACAAAACCAAAAAACTGTTGTATTAAGTCAGGTTATCCCACCTGTAATTCTATTACTCAGGAGACTGAGGCAGGAGGATAGTGGATTTGAGATCAGGTGGGCTATGTACTGAGACCATGTATTACCAAAATGACTGTGTGAAGCTTCTCTTTCTGCATCTAGATCCTTTTTCCAACTCTGCCTGTCTGCAATGAAAGCTCACAATGCTACCTCCATGAGTGGTGTAACTCATGATTTTGGAGATCTTAACAAATTATTACATTAAACGTGTCTTTCTGCATTTAGATACTGTTCCATACATGGAGAGAGGACAGGATGCCACTTCCGGAAGTTCTGTGTGATGCATACTTATGGAGATGAATTGATGGGAGAATTCATTTCCTCTCTCCATTTCTTTAGGTCTCGGAATGCAGCTGGCCCATCAGGCAGGCCCCGAGTCTACACAACCTGTTTGCTGTGTGTCGGAATATGTATAACTGGCTGCTACAGAATCCCAAAAATGTCTGCGTTGTCCACTGCTTGGTGAGTGTTCTTTGGTCCTTCTGTGGGTGGGGCTTTGGAGAAGTATGGACGGCTGGATCCAGAAGTGTGATGACATCCAAGCTCAACAGCATTTACTGAGCCTCTACTTAGAGGTAGAGCAATGCCAGGCAGGTAAAAATGAAGGAAGAGAAGAAATGATTTATTACTGTGAAAACCTGTTTTATTTGTGCCCCCCCCCCCCAGAGGAAAAGCAATTGAGGGAAGAATCTGTTATTCTTGGTGGTGTTTTATTTTGTTTTGAGATGAATTCCTACTACGTAGTCCAGGCAAGTCCTGAATTCATGGCAATCCTCCTGCCTCAGTTTCCTAAGTGATGGGATTACAAGTGTTTGTCACAGAACCTAGCTTTATTCCTGGCTTTATGTTTGAGTGAGAGTGGGAGAGGTCTGTGTTCACAGTCTGCATAATGCAGGGGTTCTAAAATGTGCCGAGTATCTTAAAAGAGGTAGGAAGAGAGTTGTGGATCCACGGGTACAAATGCACTGAGCTTTGCATGGATAAAATGGATAGAAACATGTTTAATTTCTCAACTAGTTGTATTAAAATAAAACTAAGAGAAAGTGACATTTACGCCCTTGTGAGTAGTTTTATGGTCCAGCTGTATTTCCAAATAATTCCCAAAGGATTTGTTGGCTTGGGTTCCCTACAGCTCCTTTCTCCAGCCCTTCTTCTCAGGCTTCTTAACTGTTTCTTAAAACCCAACTTCCAGCAAAATCTTTCTAAACCTTGGGTGTTTTCCACAGTGCAGATATCCTCACTGTGCATCTAAACATGACCTGTGGCATTTAATACATAGTGTCACCCAAGGCCGTTCCTTACTCATTCCCCACTGGACTGTCCTCTTTCGGGAAGAAACTTTCTTTGAACTTTGACACAAAAGATCTGAGCAAGTGGCTGTGGATATGAACACATCGAGCCCAAGCATAAGCACTGGAAATAGTCCATTCTGTCTACAAACATCAGTCGGTTTGTGTTGCTGTTTGTTGTTTTGTTTTGCTGAGGCACTGGATAACTTTCCCGTCCTTAAGAGCCAGCTGGCTGAAACAGAGAAGACAGTTGAAGAACCTTTTTATATTTCTGTTTCAACTCCCAAATACTTGGCAAGCCATACAGAACACTCGGTGTCTGTAAGCATTTCGCGTCAGAGGCTGCGGGGCTTGCCTTTTAGAGGCACAACGGTCACTCAAAGAACAGATTGCTTTTAGGGCCTAGGCAGCCTTAAGTGCATTGGAGATTTTCACTTCAATTTTTTTTTTCTAAAAGTTTAGAGAGGCTAGAGGCTTCCCAGCTCTCATAATACAATCACAATGAATTAAAAATTCAAGGCTTTGTGGATTCATCTGGGTACTTAATTGCTATGGTCACTGCAGTGACCAAAATCAAGGGACCTGGCATGCAGGTGGAGATGTTTCAATGGTGAGCATACTTACCGTGAACTGTTGGTCACCCTAAACCCCCCTTGTGGATCCCTGGCTTCTTGTCATCATGTACAAGTTCAAGAAAGCCATGAAAGAGGGCTGGGGAGGTGTCTCAATGGTTAAGAGTACTTGCTCTTCTTACAGAGGACCCAAGTTCAGTTCCCAGAACCCATGTCTGGTGGCTCATAACTGCTTGTAACTATAGCTCCAGTGATCCAATGCCCTCTCCTGACCTTAGGTACCAGGCATGCATGTGGTACACAAACACATATTCAGGGAAAACACCCATGCACATAAAAAAAATAAATTAAAACAAGAAAGATGACATGAAACGGGGCTGGAGAGATGGCTCAGTGGATTTCCTCTCCAAGGTGGACTTGGGTGCAGCTGCAGGCTCCAAGCATCCTACCTGTGTGATCACAGTGAAGCCCATGAAGAATCTCAGAGGCCTATGATCAGTGCCTGGAGGAGGTGCAGGCCAGCTGCCACCTTTGTGAAAGGCTTGGGCAGCAGTCCGGCACCTGTTACAGACTGCTGGCCAGTTACGGGTAGCTACAAAGTTCAGAACATCTCCCTGACTCCCCGAGGTGTGGGTTCTTCCCTAGGCGGCATCAGCAGCTGTGCTTGGAGGCAGACCCATCATCTTTCCAGTCAGTGCCATTTCTTATGGAGCTTAAATTAAGACAGTTCCAGGGATGTGAGGTGTAAGTAAATCCTAGGGCAGGGGGGCGGGCGGTAAGAATAAAAACTCTATGAAGAGGAAGAAAAGAGTCGACAAAGGACCGCTGTCTGACAGGATGTTCTTAGCATCACTTATAAAGGATATGTATAAATGAGTCAGGAGGGCTTGACTAGGCTGGGGAAAGGAATGGAAGCTATGCATTAGCCCTTCAGTGCCCTCCTGGGCATATCACAGATTTATTTAAAATAATAAGCCTACACTAGTCCTTTAGTAAAAAGTAAAACTTTTTAAAAAGACCTGTGTGATAGATACAATGAGCAGACATACAGCTAAGAGCTATGATCCATTAAGAGTGGCAGGGAGGCTACGTTCTGGAAAGAGTGATGAGTAAGGAAAGTGTTTTTCATCCCCCACCCCCTTTCTATGTTCAGAACAGGGACAAGAAATTATGGAAGCATGTAGTGTAGTTCTAACTCCTTTACTCCATCTTCTCTGCAGGGGAACAAATGTCAGGCTAGCAGGGACAGCTGATGAGATCAAGTATTGAGGTAGTAGGATATACAGCCTTGTACTGCCCCAAACTGGCCCATTTTCAGGACTTCAATCCTGTGACAAATCCTGACAGCACGTGGAGAAACAGCTATGGGTTCCCCATGTTCTGTGGGAAAACACGAAGAAGAGGTGCTGGGGGAGTAAAGAGAATGCCCCACCCAAAAGATGGAGGGGGTTGATCCTGCGGGACTATGGGTCCCCAGGAATAAGTCAAATGAATCTACACATATAACTTAAAACTCTTAGAAAAAAGAGAAGCCCATGGGCTCAGCTGAGTGCAAGGATCAAACCAACTAAACATTTTGCAGTCAGGCAAGTAGACTACTCGGGAAAGTTTATGGAGTTCCAGCTTCAGAGTTCCAAATTTCTTTGGGTTAAAAGGAAGTAACCTGGGATGAGTTATTTGATTTTCAGCTGGGTTATGACTGAATATCTGCTTGGAGCAGTGGGTGATTAATAGACCAACATCCTCGTGGGTGAAAGCTTTCTTTGATTATGCTTAAAAAGTCAACAGCTTAGATGAAAATATGGAAAGCAAGCTTTATCAGTTTTCTTAGAGTTGGGATGGTCCCAGAATGAACTTGTATTTGAAATGTTCTAGTGAGCTGGAGACATGGCTCAGTGCTTAAAAAGATACGTTCTTACAGAGCGCTGGAGTTTGGTTCTCAGCACCCACATCAGGCAGCTCACAACTTCTATAACTAACTCTGGGCACGTGGACATCTTCTGGTCTCTGCAGGCATCTGTATACACACACACACACACACACACACACACACACACACACACACACACACACACATACTCACAATTTTTTGAAAAAAATTCTAAGTTTGGTTGTTTAACAGAAATAATGTGAAACATAGGATCAGTGTGTAGCTAGATCTAAAAGGAAATTAAGCATAGCTGTCTATCTTAGTTAGGGTTTCTATTGCTACGGTAAAACACCATGACAAGAATCAACTTGGAGGAAAGTGTTTATTTCAGATTACAGTTAGTTCCATATCACAGTCTATCACTGTGGAAAGTCAGGGCAAGAACTCAAACAGGGCAGGAACCTGGAGGCAGGAGAGATTCAGAGGCCATGAAGAAGGGCTCTTTAGTGGCTTGCTCCATGGCTTGTTCAGCCTACTTTTTATGGCACCCAGGCCCACCAGCCCACAGGTGGCATCACTCAAAGTATGCTGGGTCCTCCCATATCAACCATTAATCAAGAAAATTGCTCCACAGGCTTGTCCATGGGCCAGTCTGGTGGGGGACATTTTCTCAATTGAGGCTTCTGCTTCCCAAACGACTAACTTCTGTAAACTGACATAAAACTAACCAGCCCATATGAGGTTAGCAGGTCATTTGAGAAAGAACTAGGTGTTAAGGGACTACAACGTTCAATATGAGCATGTATACCGTGACAAGAGGCATTTGTACTAGTGTGGCCTGGAGTTGGGTTAATCAAAGTAGAGTGTCCACACTAAGGCAAGTAATGTCTCTTCTCCAGTTCGGCCAGAGCTCATTCTATGCCTTGCTTCTGTGTGGGCAGTACACTGAAGACTGAAAGGTTAGGTATGTTCAGAGATGTGCGTTCCAAGTGCTAACGTCTTTTAGAATGGGATTCCAAAGCAGGAAGAATTGCAGGGATTGGGCTGGCTTTAATCTGGAATCAGAAGTGCTGATGGAATGGGACGGCGTTTCCGATATGTGAAGGGCTGCCTGAGGAAAAGGAGTGGGTTTCTTTCTTCCTGGAAGGAAGAATAAAGATAGGTTGACTAGAAGCGGTAGAAGAAAAGTTGGGTGTGGTGGCCCGCACCTTTAATTCCTAGCACTTGGTGGACAGAGCCACATGGGTCTTTGAGTTGAGGCTAATGGGTTCTGTTTACACAGTCAGTTCCAACCAAGGCTACATAGTGAGACTGTCTGAAAAAAACCAAAGAGATCGTGGAGGAGCAGACTTTAACGCAAAACACATAATAGGAAACAGTTGGTAAAACTTGAAGTCGAAGTGGCTTTTACTTATTCTAGGAGAGGCTTAGTTACCATCCGTCAGCTGGGTTTCTGGATGTTGTAACAAGGAAATCATAGACTGAGTGACTTAAATGGTAGAAAGTTTGTTTCTCATGGAGAATGTTTAAGCCCAGCTTAGACTGTTTGCAGATTTAGTAGATCTGCCTCCTTCCCAGGTGACACATAGCTGTCCTCTCCCAGAAAGGGAGAGGACAGAGAAAGAATTCATAAGGGCCTGTCCCTCAAGACCTAATTATACCAGAACCCCAATCTCCAGTCCCAATGCCCTTACATTATGAATTAGTATTTCAATACATGAATTCCAGAAGGAGACAATCAGTTCATAATACATTGATTTGTACAATGAATGAAGTTTTTTGTATTAATGAACGTACAGTTTGGGTGGAGAACATATACTGCATGTTCCAAAGGTAGCATCTAACCCTGGGCTCTTCATTCCCACTATTCATTACAATACCTCGAGTCTAGAGTTGTTCGAGTTCTCAGAAATCATATGCAAGTGGAATTTCTTTTGCTGAGCCTCTTGGGTGAACACAGAGTCAGTTTTATCTTAAGAAAAGTTTTTCCTTGCTGCTTTCTGATTTCACGTCTGGGACAGATTTTTGGTCTTGAACAATTCCGAAGTGAAAGGCATCCATAATTAGGGGATGCCTCTGTTTTTTCTCTTCTCTGCAAGAGGCTTTCCCCAGATGTGATGTTTCTGACGAGTTTGTGGGTCTTCTTTGACAGGATGGACGGGCTGCGTCTTCAATTCTGGTTGGTGCTATGTTCATTTTCTGTAATCTCTACTCCGCTCCTGGCCCCGCTGTTCGATTGCTCTACGCAAAGCGACCGGGAATTGGACTATCCCCGTCCCACAGGAGGTACAGTAATGGAGGTGCAGGGCGTGGTTTAAGTGGTGCCCGGTACTGTGGAAGTTTCGCCTCGTGGGAGCTCTCATCCAAATTCTTCTAATTGATCTGGTGTTATCCTGAACCTTGATGACAATTAAAATGGATGAGAATATTGAATTTCATGCAGGTTCATGAACCCTCACTTGAAAGTCTGTGATTTTAAAACTAAAAGAAAACTAAAAAAAAAAAAATGCTATTGTTTACTTAATGGAAAAAAATAAAAATAAAAAGGAAAGGTCATGACTGTTTCTAGGTATGGTGGAGGAGAAAGTTTATTGTAGATAAAAGGGAGAGCATAGCCAGAGGCAGAGACTTCTGGGAGAGTCCAGAGAGGCATGACCAGATTGAGGGGGGCCATGTGGGGAGAAGGGGAGGGAAATGAAGAGAAGAAAGGGGAACCAGGTGCAGCAGCCGAGAGGGCAAAGGTACAAAAGGGGCTAGGTAAGTACAAAGTGGCTGTATTATATAGGGAAGAGCCTTTGGGGGAAGGACAGCTGAGCCCCCGGGCTGGAGGATTCAAGGGGTAGCGGGTGGGATATGCTGGCTCTATCCTGTAACAGGTAGGGACTGAGGGATCCTGGGAGAACCTGGTGGCCTGGTCCTCTGTATGTTACACAGGCACCTCAGCCATTTGTCCTGGGGTTGGGGACTTAACATTTACTCTCCTCCTTTAAGAGGAGAGGGAACATGAGTGTGAACCGGACCTAGAAGGCTGCGCTAACTCCAGTCTAGAAATACCCACTGAATGTAGCCTGACCATCCTCTCCAGTCTGAGCTTTATTAAGATGCAATGGTGATCATTGCATGAAAATGCAAAATTGTAGAGAGAGTATGTGTTTTAAAGCTGAGTTTTTCTTATGGCTGAGACATGGAGGTTTAATAGATAGGTATAGATTATAACAATGTGAAAGTGGCTTTTAAAAGGAAGCCTATTTTTAGGTAGCTGATTTATTTTCTTCCCTAGAGTTAGAATTAGTTTCTTGGTTCTTACTTAAATTTCATCTCCTCACATCTTTGGATAAAATTCCCGATAATACATTCTAAAGTTTACCCAAATCTTCCTTGGCTGCCATGCTTATTCTGCTAGATATAATAGGAATAGATGTCCACATATCGGGCTAGCATTAACGCTTCTGACGAGTAAACACTCTGCTATCAGTCCAGCATGTCAATGGAAACAAGCTCTCTCTCATTTACAAAAAGAGTTATCATTTTTATGTCATGTATATGGGTGTTTTGCCTACATGTATGTATGTACTACAAATACATGCATGCCCTGGTGCCTTTGAGGCCCGAAGAGGGTGGAAGATCCTCTTGAACCTGAAGTTACAGAGTGGGTGAGCAACCATACGGATGCTGGGAACCAAACCTGGGTCCTCTGAAAGAGCAGCAAGTGCTCTTAACCACTGAGCCATGGCTCCAGCTCTGATTCACAAGCTTTCTTTATTGTTTGCATTCCTCCTTGGTGGTTAATGTTAAGGAATGTGCAGAATACATTTTTACTGTAATTTGATTTACAAAGACAAACTTCCCAGCAGAAATGGTCTAATCCTCCTGCTACAATGGGCTCACAGAATGGTGGTCTTCTGTTTCAGGTACTTGGGCTACATGTGCGACCTACTTGCAGACAAGCCCTACCGCCCTCACTTCAAGCCACTGACGATCAAGGCGATCACTGTCAGCCCAATTCCCTTCTTCAATAAGCAGAGAAATGGGTGTCGCCCATACTGTGATGTACTGATTGGAGAAACTAAAATATACTCAACATGCACAGATTTTGAACGAATGAAGTAAGTCCCAATGTTTTCTCTTCTTGCATGCTTAATTCCTGTGTAAGTGGGATTCTTCCTGCTTATTACTGTGATTTTTTTTTTTTTAAAAGCCCAACATCAAAGATAAGCACAGCTGAATCCAAGGACTTTTCTCCTTTATACACAGTGGTACTGTGTTCTGAAGGACAGTGCTTGGGTGTCCAGATGATAGGGGTGGGTGGTCACAGAGGACCTGGACATGTAAAAAGGAGACTCAGTGATTTGGATAGATGACTGTCCTAGTTACTTTTAAATTGATGTGACGAGACACCATGACCAAGACAACTTAGAGAAAAAAGAGTCTATGCGGGATTATGGTTTCAGATGGTGAGTTCATGACCATCATGTGGGGAGGATGGGAACAAGCAGGCAGGCAGGCAGGCAGTGTGCTGGTGCAGTAGCTGAGAGCTCACAGCTTGCCACAATGATCAGGAGCCAGACAGAGCTAACTGGAAATTATAGGGTGGGTTTTTGAATCCTTAAGCCTGCTCCCAGTGATGCACCTCCTTCAATAAGGCCACACCTCCTCCAATAAGGCCACACCTCCTAATCCTTCCCAAACAGTCCCACTCACTGGGAACCAACTGTTCAAATACATGAGCCAGTGGGGCCAAGTCTTGTTCAAACCACCATAATAATGATGTGCGTAAAGTACTTATATGATCTGTAAAGAAGAGCATGCACCACTCGGAAGTCCTTGGGATTTAGGAGACAAGGGAGTGGCTGGCAACACAACCTAGACTTAGTTGGCAATAGGTTAATCTAGGAGTCAGAATTCTAGACCCTGGGAGAGTATGATATTTCTCTTTCTATTCTGACCTTGGTTGGATTTTACTGAATGAGGCATGGTGATTTGAGGAAAACAAGATCTGTCTAGAAGTCCAGAGGAGATGGAGAGAGAGGGCCTACATCGGGTCAGTGCTCTACCAGCCCAGAAACACTCTGCATCTGGTCCACACTGCCTGCCTCCCTACCTCTGCACAAGACAGGAAGTAGTTTCTTGGTCCAAGTCTGGGCAAACAGGTCCCTTAGAGCCATTAAGGTGCATTCCTGTCTGTGAGGGTACCAGACTGTGGACACTTTCATGGTCTATTCTGATCTCCGTTTAAAGAGAGTACCGTGTCCAAGATGGGAAAATCTTCATCCCCCTGAACATCACAGCCCAAGGAGATGTCATTGTGTCCATGTACCACCTGCGGTCAACCATCGGGAGCCGGCTGCAGGCTAAGGTAAGCTTCAGGAGGACTCAGACTGTGAACCCACCGGAATTTGTAGTGTGAGCATTGCTGGGTCTTTTCTCTATATCACTTTGGGCTTGATTGACTTGTGAGTTTCGAGTGAGAAAGACCCTTAAAACCTGCTGATGTCCGTCTTCTTCATCACTGCAGGAAGGAATGGAGATTGAGGCAGGTTGTAACTTAATACACAATCATGGGTAGACAGCCCCAGAACCTCAACAAGCCACATTCTTGAGAAGCTGAGTCTTTTGTTTAGTGCTGTGTTGAGGGGATCACTATAAAGTGAGGGATTTCAACTAAGCATGTGTATAGTTAAGAATTTTTCCCACCAAGAGATGGCTCAGCAGGTAAATGGTCTTGCCACCAAGCCTGATGACCTGAGTTCGATTCCCAGGATGCCTCCCCCAAATGCAGTGGTTTTTAGTGTATCCAAAAGGTGTTGCTCCTGTTAGAATTCTCTTACTTAAGAATGTTTTTTTCATTAAAAGAAACCTTGACCCATTAGCAGTCACTCTTCATCCCTCCTTTCCTGCTTGCCTTCTGACCACTGTGAATCTTTTTTCCTGCTTCTTCAGACTTTCTTATTTGGGAACATTTCATATAAATGGAGTCGTACACTATGTGGTCTATTTGGGTAGCTTTTTTCACTCAGTGTAATATCTTGGAGGTTTATTTGTGTTTTAGCATGTATCATCAGTATTTCATTCTTTTATATCGTTAAGTAGTGTTCCATTGAATGGATATACCCCATTTACTGATTCTCCATGTTTAGATTATTTTTACTCTTTGGTTGTTAGGAAAGTTGTTGCAAGTAGTTATATCTTAATCAATCAAATATTTGCTAAGATCACATATTCCGTCCATCGCCTAGGTGTTTTGGATTAGCAAAAGTAATATTGTATTCTTAGCTTTACAAAACTGACCTGAGGAGGGGGCAAGTCAAACATACATGAATATCCACTGCTGTATCAGAGGACAGAGGGGGTGCTGTCATTGGAATAGTTTGTTTTAGCTAGTAGTGATCAGGCAGACTATGGAGGTGGGCCTTGAAGGATGAGTTTGTTGAGTTGGAGAAGGACACCCTGGGATGAAAGAATATATAAAGACATGGGACATCAGTGGGTAAGGAATTGACTTGCTCTTCTGGAGTAGAGAAACTAGAAATGAAGCTGGGAGTTCATTTAATATTCATTTTCCACAAAGAATTGTATAAAGAACCAATGGAAGGTACCAGCCCCCAAACCCAATTTTTGGTGCGGACTCCCTTTTTCTCCTACTTATCATGCTTCTTGCACATATTTTTAGGTGACCAACACACAGATATTCCAGCTCCAGTTTCATTCTGGATTTATACCACTGGACACAACGGTTTTAAAGTTCACTAAGTAAGTGATGCATGGCCTGAGGTTGTTGCCAGCATAACCAGGAAGCCCTGATTGTCTGTAGCAGCATGTTGCCACCTCCAAAGTCCTACACTGTGGACTGTTGAGTGTGGTTTCACTGCATAGAGAAGCTGCATGCATTTGAAATTCTTCAGTTGAGTATGGTTGGTCTTAAGAAGAAGTGGATATGGACCACAGAGTTAACTAGAACGGCCTAAAGTTCCATGTTAGGGAACAAAGGATTATGACCTCAATCCTCTGTGTTTGTGGATGCTTATGCCCAACAGGAATGACAGTTTAATTCCTGGGATGGCATAAACAGTGGCCTCTCTTATGGGTTGTCTGGCTATAGCACTGTGAAAGAGGTTCTGGGGAAACCAGCTGCACCAAATATTGACCTGAGGTTGCTATAACATAATGTGGATGCAGATCTTAGGGTGTGACTGAATCTGGAGTGGTGGGTGGTTGCTGGATCCAGAGACAGGGAGCTATGAAGGATTCAGGGGTTCAGGCTGAGAAGGTAGCTTTGGGTCTGTCTCATTATTTTGATGACCCATTTAGCCATGCCAGTATATACTGGCCAGATTTATCAACCCTGCTTCTCATAGTGCTTTTATCAGTGTGTTTGGTAGTAGTCAAATGATTTGAGCAAGTGCTATTCCGTTTTCTCTAGATGAGGCATAGCAAAGCACAGTAACACCTGGCTAGTGACTGAGTCTACCCAGAAGGGAGTTTCAAGCTGGACTCTTCAGCTTGAGCTGAGTCTCGTGTTGAGCATCCTGCTGATTGCTCTGCTTGTTCTGTTGTTTGTCTTTCCATCAGGCCTGAGTTGGATGCATGTGATGTACCAGAAAAATATCCTCAGCTGTTCCAAGTGACACTGGATATAGAAGTACAGCCCCAAGACAAAGTGATCGACTTAACTCCACCATGGGAGCACTATTGCACAAAAGATGTGAACCCCAGCATCCTCTTCTCCTCTCAGCAGGAGCATCAGGATACTCTGGCCTTAGGAGGTATGAGTCATGGGCTGCTTTGGGTTTTCAGGGTGAGGCCTCTGCGTTACTTACTGAATTGCTTTGTTTCCTGTGTTTGGTTGACGCTGGGTGACTTTTGTCTTGCAGGTCAGGCTCCAGCAGATCTCCCTCCAGACCATCCCAGGAATCTTGGGCAAGGTGGCTTCTTTGCCTCCCTCTGTTGGCAAGGTATAGCAGAGCCTCTAAGTTAGGATGATTAGGTGATTGAGTGACTAAGTTGTCTAATGGTTTTATTAAGACACTTCCTGAAGCAATCTCAATTCAAGTTTCCTTCCTCCCTTATTTCTGACCCTTCCCCTCATTTGTTTTTCAAATCAGGCAGTTTGCCTGCTTTCAAGTCCATGAGTGCACAGAATGACCAGAAGGCCAATGGAGGTTAAATTCTCCCTTCTTTTTTTGCGTGGTGTTTCCAAACCACATCTTCCGAAATTGATGAACTGTGATGTATGCGAAGATCTCTCTTTAGGCTGCTGACAACTGACAAAGACTAACAAAGAGTTCAGTTTCCTGCCTTCAGGCAAATACTCTAAAGACACAAAATTGAGTATTGTCTTAGCACTGCACCTCTAGCAAGGCAGGATGGGTCTTGCCCTGGCATGGTGAAGGAAGTCACCTGGCCTGCATCTCTGCTAGTTGCTTTAGCAATCATTAACCCAGACAGGGCTCTACCACTGTGCTGTTTTCTCCCACACCTGGAGGTGTTTCCAGACCCCTTCTCCAGCTAGCACTTTACATTACTAGCACTTTACATTACTAGCACTTTACATTACTACATTACTTGAGACAGCCATGGGCATTCTAGTCAGGTACGCTGGCCATTCTTGCTTTGCAGTTGGCAGAGGTTAGTTACAAAGCATGGTCCAGAATCGAATAGTCAAGACTTTAGGGTGAGAATTCAGCTTCAGAGATGGCCTAGGCAACATTTTCTTGATTGACCTTCCTCGGATGTGTGAATGTAACATAGTATTCCTACAGCCTGTAGATGTTTTCAGTGGTAGGCTGAAAAATATTCATCTGATTCCTTTGGATGAAAAGGTTTGCTTACAGAATTTTCTTTTGAAAAATGCAATGGAAACTTCTCAGACTTGGAAGTCCAGCCAGATGTAGCTTGCAGATGGATCATCAGCCTCTTCTTGGTCCTTACCCTATATCTTCTCACAGTCATGGCTTCTAATAAAACATTCCTCTCACCTTCCCATTGTCACGTTAATATGCAGAAATAATTCCTGTATGGGGCTGGAGAGATGGCTTAGTGGTTAAGAACACTTGATGCTCTTACAGAAGACCATCTATAACTCCAATCGCAGGGGATCTGATGTCCTCTTCTGGCCTCCAGAGGCACACACAACAGTACACAGACGTGTATACAGTCACTCACATGTAACATCTTTTTAAAAAGAGAGAATCTCTGTTTTTAGCACAGGTACATTCTCTTATCTGCTTGGGGCTTTTACATTTTGCAAAGGTATGTGAAATATATTACTTAACATCTCCAGTGGCATCTCAGATGACAACCTGCAATCATACATCAGTGTTTCTGCAGCGGGACATATAAGTAGTAACTTGCGTGAGGCAGCAGAAGCCTGAAGGTAGCTTCATATACCCATTCTGAGCACGCTCTTCTGCTGAGCTCCTACCACCAAACTTAGATCAGCCTTGCCCTTCCCACAGATCTTCGTGGTTCAGAGTTGGGGTTCACAAGTGTGAACCTGACCCCGATTTAGATTGTGGGTCTGTCTGGTGTGAGATAACAAAGTGCTATGGGAGATGGTCTCGAGCAGGACCTGGAAAGGCACATAGAAGCCTTCCATTTCTCCCCAGCAGAAGGTGTCTTTCCTAAGCCCATTTTGTGGGAAAATATCTCCTTTCAGGGTGGTGGGAGGACCGTGAGGCAGAGCCGTTGAATTTGCTTCTTAGGGTGTATTGCTTCTGCTTCAGTCGTGTGGAGAAACAAAGGGCAGTGAGAGGTGTCCGCAAAGGGCGAGGCGTCACTGTCGTTTTCTGTGGCACCCCACATAGTGTCTGGAAATCAGCATTGAGGTGCTACTTGCTATTAATTTGAGTTCTTTTTATTATCATCTCATGTCATTATTACAGCAGCCTGAGCACTGTGTAGTATTTATTACCCCTGTTTTGCTGAGGAGGAAACTAAGACACCAAAAAGTAAAGTTACTTGCTCAGGGTTGCACAGCCAGTTCCATCCTTAGGCTGCCGGGACCCAAAGTTTTTCCTCTTAGTCTTTATGTTATATTGCCTTGCAGATGTTGACCAAATAGCGGAGAATGATCTGAAATCAAATAGTTATTGCATTGGCAGGGTTATGAAAGCACTATTTGCTCAGGGCTGGTAGATCTTCTCTTTCTGGAACAATGTACTCGTAGCAAACCTCACTTGTCCCAGCCGTCAGTCATACAATCATTTATTTGCACATTGGCCTTTCTTAGATCAGAAATCAGAGAAGTCGTTCTGTGAGGAGGACCACGCTGCCCTGGTGAATCAGGAAAGTGAGCAGTCGGACGATGAACTACTGACCCTCTCAAGCCCGCATGGAAATGCCAATGGGGACAGGCCTCACGGAGCCAAGAAGCCCAGCAAGGAGCAGGAGCCAGCGGCCCCTCCTCCCGCGGAAGAGGTGGACCTTCTGGGCCTGGAAGGGTCTGATGTGAGCACGAACTTCTCTCCGCTGGCAGCTCCTCCCAGCAATTCTGAACTGCTGAGTGACCTGTTTGGGGGTGGAGGTGCCACAGGTCCTGCCCAGGTCGGGCAGGCTGGGGTAGAAGACGTGTTTCATCCCAGTGGACCTGCGTCTGCGCAGTCCACACCACGCCGCGCTGCCACCTCCGCCTCCGCATCGCCAACCCTAAGAGTGGGAGAAGGTAATCTTCCCATATTTCTGTTATCTCAGATTTCAGGAATAACTTGGGCCAAGCACACAAAACTCAAATGTTTTCGTAAGCAGAACTTTTCTGATTTCTTGGAAAATTCCTTGGGAGATCATAAGGAAAATACAAACATTGTCCTTTTTTTTGATATATTTGAACTCCATAGTTTTTTTTTTAATCTAAATTTTTTATTTTTTGAGGATTTCATCCATGAGTACTGTGTTTGCATCATTTCACCCTCCCCAACTCCTCCCATATCTCCCTCATTCCCATTTCAAATTCATAATTTCTCATTTCTTAATTATTATTGTTACATCTACATCAACCTACCGAGTCCCTTTACTGTTGCTCAAATGTGTTTAAGACTGACTGCTTGGTATCAGATAACCTATCAGGGAGCTCATCCCTGGGGAAAAAAATAGTCTCCCTTGCTCCAACAGCCATTGATTTTCTATAGCTCTTTGTCTAGGGTTGGAGCCTTGTAAAATTCCCTCTGTCTGTGTTGGCATGTCCACTGATGTGCTCACTGTGAAGGTCTTGTTTAGCCAGCCATATTGTTGAGATGTCATGGGTGCAGCTTTCCTGTAACATCTAGAAGACACTATCTCGAAGCAGGCATCCCGATCCTCTGGCTTACCTCCATGCCCTTATTTCCTTTTCTTGGAGCTTAAGCTTTGAATATGCTTTTGTTACTTCTGCTTGGAGATGGAGATGGATGAGCTATTTACTACAGCAGCTGATATTGGTGTGATACTCGCCACTTGCCAGATATAGAATATATGATTAGACATGACTCAGTTCTTATAAAAATCAGTACACAGATGCTATCGCTATCTCCACTTCATAGCTGAGGAAATAGAAGCTTCCAGTTTAATTAGCAGCATTTGTTCAAACAGCTGGGCATTGATGGAGCCAGGGTCCCAACTTGACCTGTGGACTCAGAGCTTTCCCTCAGACCTCTGGTAATACTTTCTTTGAATTCTAGTGTTCTGGATATCCCCTAGCTATACAGAGAAGTGTTTGGGTACATCAGAATATGCTTGAGGGGCCTAGGCCAGCAGCATGATTGGGGAGAGAAGTGTGGCTGGTCTTTGTAAGGAGTCTGAGCCATACATACTTAGCTAGTTTCACTTAGCTAGTTTCACTTGACACACCACCAAAGACTTCATTTTCCAGGTCAACCTTCCCTTTTCCTGGTCAGCCACAGCATTAACATTTGCAAGATGATGTAGCTGGGTCACAGAGATTCATTACAGCTTCAGAATAACCAGCACAAACCGGCTACCCCTGTGACTGTCACCCTTAAGATGATGCTGCATTAGAAAGGGTAAAGAGATGAGTCTCAACCATCTAGGCTTAGGGGATGCTATAGGAACTTTCCCGCATGCTAATCCTTCACCTTCTCTGGAGGCTCTGGGCTTGGCTTGACTTGTGAAGTTCTGCTGGATGCCTCTTTTGTGAGAAAGGGAATTAGAATCACAGAGTTCAGGTGCAGAGTTTCAGTTGGTGGTGGCTGGATGTGAACCCAGGAGCTTGCATCCTACATCGTGGCTCTTCTGTGCTTTGCTTTCTTCCATCTGGTTCCTGTTTGTCAGGATGAATGAAAGGCCCGTCAGGGAAACAAAATCTCAAGATTGAAATCAGCAGTGTTCCATGGCTGAGTTTTAAGACAAACTATTCTAAGGATGTTTGATAATTTAACTCTTCATAGTCCTTTGCTGCTAGGTGTATTCATTTTGGAGTTGGAAGGCACTGTTGACATTAGTTAATTCTGTCTGTGAAATCATAGGTATGCTGTCTGAGCATACCCAGCTATTAATGGCTGACCTAGATGTAAGGCTCAAGTATTCTGTCCCTCCAAAAAGAAAGAGAACACTAATCCTAGAATTAATGGCTGCATTTGAATCACAGGACTAACACTTAACTATCTGGAGAGTCTGGTTAAAAATTTAATTTGGCTGGGTGTGGTGGCGCACACCTTTACCACAGCACTTGGGAGGCAGAGGCAGGTGGATCTCTGTGAGTTTTAGGCCAGCCTGGTCTACAGAGCATGTTCCAGGACAGCCAGGCCTACAGAGTAAGTCCCTGTCTCAAGAACAAAACAAAACAATGAAAACCCTCTTAATTTGCTTAGTTGAGGATAATACTTGTGGACATAATGGTAAAGACTAACTCTTGAGTTTTCATCTGTAGTATGCATGTTTCATCTTTGGTTATTAGAGAATTTCTACAACAAGGTGATATTAAAAGTGCTCCAGTCATCTAAGAAGTCTTTAGTGTCTTCTCCACTGGTTGGCTTCAACTAGAAACAGGTGGGCTTACCCCTTGTCCTCTTACAGTCACACTGCAAACCCCAGAGTCCTTGTGTCAGAGAGGATGAGGTCTCCTGAATACTAAGTAGGGCAAGGGATGTGCATCCTGGACTACATTGTAGTTACTGCCACAACAAGCTGATCTGCTGCCCCTGCCCCACAGGTGTTGAGAGAGCCTTGTGCCAATGACGTCATAGCTGTAGACGTGTGAGCCACATGCCCCACTGCATCGTGACAGTGGGAAGTGTTTGTTCACTGGTTTGGTTCTCAGGCTCTATTTCTAGAATGGGTCAGCCCCACTCCAGGAAGTAGGCTGTCATCGGCTTGGTGCCTACAGATTTGGAAGTGACATCTCACTTTAGGTAGCTCAAGGAGGTTTTGTTCCTTGCTCAACAGTGAGAAATCCAAGGGCAGTTGTCTCCATGCAGCTCAGTGATGGGCAGGCATCTTGTTCATTTCATGACTGATGCTTGTGGGGATAACTTGGAGCCTGGAGCTGGAAGATTTGAACGTGAGTCTAGCATAGTGTTTCCTGGACTTGAACAAGAGCAAGTTTCTGAATCTCAGTTTCCCCAGGGCCGAGTGAAGGTGACAGCACTTCTGTTTGCCAGGAAGAAACCGAGGACCACCCGAGGTCTTCTCCGTAACACAGTAGAGCCCCAGGAAGCTTCACTGTTACTGACAAGCAGGGCCTCCCACATTCCTAGCTTCCTCACAGCTTTCTCTAGCTCCTAGCCGGCTGTGGAGTCAGTGTTTTAGAAATGCTTGTATCCTGTGGACTTGAGAGTGCAGCTTCGCTCACTGCTCTCATTTTATTCTGTTTTTAGCTTTCAAGTGAGCTGAAGGTCCCTTAAAAACAAAGTTAAAGAAAGACCTACTTAGTGGGGTCTTAGTCCTTTTCTTTTGAGATGGGTCTTACATAACGCAGGCTGAGCATGAACTCACTGTGTCACCCAAGATGACCTTGAACTTCTGATCCTCCCATTTCCACTCTCTAAACGCTAGGATTACAGGGATGTACCACCATGCCTAGTCTTCTGTGGCACTGGGCGTCAACCTAGGCTTCATGTATGGTAGGCAAGCACTCTACAGATTGAGCGACATTCCTGGTCCTGTCGGTGGGGTTTTCTGCTACTTGTCTTTATAGCAGCTCCCCGTGCCTGGTTTTTCCCCATTAATTCCTTTTACATGAGCACTCGTTAGTCCCTGGACCCCTGTAGCCTATACGTGGTTTAGGCAGCCCACGGATTCATCTGTGTTGATCTTGTGTTCTCAGCTAGTCTGTAACTCTGATTTGCTGCTTCTATGTTATTAAGATTTTCAAAAGCTGGCTGGAGGGGATGGCTCATTGAGTAAAACAGCTTGCCACACAAGTGTCAGAACCTGAGTCTGAACTCCCAGAACCCACATAAAAGCTGGACATGTAGTGTGAACACCTGTAATCCCAGCACTTCTATAAGGAGATGGGAAGTAAAGGAAGACAACCGTAGAAGCTCCAGGCCAGCTAGCCTGATGTGTGATGTGTGCAGCAGAAAAACAAGACAGTCTCAAACAAGACAGAAGATGAGGACAGATACCTGCACTCTGTGGTGTGCTACACACACACACACACACACACACACACACACACACACACACACACACCATATACCCCCATATGATATAGACCATATACACACACACATACACACACACACACACACACACACACACACACACACACACACACACACCATGCACACACATGCAGGATTTATTAAAGGTGCTTTAACCCTCATTTAGAATTATGGCTTTCGAATAAATAAATCCAGAGTCTTTCATCTACATGGGTGGGATAATTCCTGTCGTGTTGGGACCCACTGTTAGTTCTGGAGGAAGTTCTAAGTCTAGGAAGGGGTGAGGAAGGTCAAGAAGAGGCAAGCTTCAGCCTGGTCTTTCAAGTGTTTGGCAAGTTAATAACTTTCAATATCCATACAGCAATTACTGACAGGATCAAGAAATAAATGCATCTCCCCTTTGTTTTCTAGGTACCACCTTTGACCCTTTTGGAGCCCCTGCTAAGCCACCGGGTCAGGATTTGCTGGGCTCCTTTCTGAACACGTCCAGTGCTTCTAGCGACCCCTTTCTGCAGCCCACGAGAAGTCCTTCCCCTACAGTGCATGGTAAGAAAGTGTTTTCTATGATGCTTAGTGGAGTAATGGAGTGGTTTTCCACAAGACAATGCTAAGTACTGAGATGTGAATATAAAAGCATCTGTGTGTGTGTGTGTGTGTGTGTGTGTGTGTGTGTGTGTGTGTGTGTGTGTGTATGTTTGCAAAAATTTTGGAAATTAATAATTTGTTAACATGCTAAAAATGCTTCAATTTCTTACCGGAAAGAGACTCATTTAACATTTAACTTGGTTTCACGATGGTCCTGAAACAAGTAGGCTGTGGATTTCTGCTTGTTTTTATACTAGAGCTGCATATCCAGGAGCAGAGGGCATCATTAATTATAACCGTTACTACTTTGTGTATCAGTGAAAAAGAGAAATGCTCCCACTTTTAATTAATTGGAAGCTATGTCCTAGTTGCAGAAATCTTTGAAATGTAAAAAAAAAAAATGGGGCTATTACATTAGTAAAATATGATGTTAGCATTCCTTAAAATTATCAGTTGTCAGAGCACAGTTTGGGACATGGTACATGGATGTGTGGGAGCACCTCTGATATGACAGCTACTAGATGTGCGTGGCTACAGAGCACTCGAGATGAGCACTCGAGACGTGGCTAGTCTGAATTGAAATGTGCTCCACATATAAGGTAAACACCAGATTCCAAAGTTTACAGCACATAAAAGAATGCAAGGTATCTTCATATTTTTATAACAGTCCCTCATTAGAATAAGATTTGGATTGTCTGCTCAATAAATTAATATCATATTTTACTGATTTAAGAATTCTGTTTTTCCATATTTCAAATGTAGGAGTGATGATTAATGTTACCATTATTTTCTCTTTTACATATAATTCAGGTCATCTATGAACTCATAGTGGTTCCTTATTTCACCCAACATAAGAGCCAACATTGGGTACCCTGGTCATAGCCTGTGTAGACCCCATTTACTCTACCCCGGTCATAGCCTGTGTAGACCCCATTTATTCTACCCTGGTCATAGCCTGTGTAGACCCCATTTACTCTACCCTGGTCATAGCCTGTGTAGACTCCATTTACTCTACCCTGGTCATAGCCTGGGACCTTGTTTCCCAGTTTTCCTCCTTTTTGTCTTCATTCCAGCCCTTTGGGTCTCTTCCCCCCGCCCCGCCTCATTTTCATCCTGATAGATGTAAGACAAACAGAATGTAGAGGAAGCCAGATGGCAAATGTTGACAAAGCTGTCTACTTTGGGCCTTTTTTTCATGGGTTACTGTGGAGCCAGAGCGGAAAGGAAAGAGCTATCATCCCTGATAATGGTGTGTGCTTTTTAATTAATTATCTGATAGGAAGGTACAGGATATGTTGACAGTAGGTAAATAAAACAGGTAACTATGAAGCCTAGAGTGCTGATTCTGGTGCCTTGGGTCTTTTGTGGGGTGTGTGTGTGTGTGTGTGTGTGTGTGTGTGTGTGTGTGTGTGTAGTGTGGTATGTGTGTTTTCAATCCCACTTGTAATGCCAGTAGACTGAATTCTACTTGCTGATTTTTATGGGCAAAGCCCTAGGGAGATTCTTCCTCCAGCAGCACATTTCACTTCAGTGCCACTCACAACTTCTTGAGAGGTCAGAATGATCTCTCTTGAAGCTCTACTGGGTTTCTTTTTGAGTGACAGTAGACACGTCCCTGCCACCAGCATAGTGGGAGATAGATAGTTTTTGCCCAATTAGTGTTCTGAATGGCTCATTCTTCTCAATCCATGCCACAGCTGAGGAGGAAACAAGATCCCAGTTCTGAGTGGTTCATGCATTGATGCCCTTGGTCAGTACTAAGCTGGGTTGAGTTTAAGGATATCTTCCCTCTTTTTGCGTAGCCCAGGATGTTAAGTACATTAGTGGGGTGCACGAAGATGAGTAAGACAATTCCCACATTCAAGGAACTCAGGATTAAATGAGGACAGACATGTGCACAATTGTAATTCCAAGTGGGTGGACATGGAGGTACCACAAAGGTGAGCCAAAGAATGAACAGAGAAAGCCTATGGTTTCTACCAAGCTCTCATGAGCATGCGCAGATGAAAGCAGAAACTATCCCTGTTGCAGAGTGGGGTAAAAGCCCAGGAGGAGGTATGGATCCATTAGATAGTGAGAAGCCATGCGAAGCTGTGCAGGCTACAGAAGACAGCTTTGTTCTGCGCAAACTCAGAGAAGTGGGCTCTGAGCTGTCTTGTTCTCATTCATCTGCTCTCCGTTTGCAGCTTCCAGCACACCTGCCGTGAACATCCAGCCAGATGTTGCTGGAGGTTGGGACTGGCATGCCAAACCAGGTAAAGACCAGCAGGTTATTTTTTGTACACGAGTGACCAGTGGCAAACGCATGGTCCTTCACCCAAGATAAGGTGGATACTTGGAATATTATAGTCCACTGTGTAGTTTGATTATTCCTAATGATCCGCATTGTAGCAGCACTTTTCCCAATGCACTTGATGATGATGATATATATATATATATATAAATTATATGTTATATTTTTATAAATATATTATATATGTTATATATAGTTATATATATTTGTCTTATAAAGTTAAACTGCAAGTGTATTCGTATATATATTGTTTAACTTTACAAGACTCATCTGCAATATATCTGTATCCACAGTAGAATTAGATGGGTCTGAATTGGTTCTACCACTTAGAATCTCCTGGATTCTTTCTTCTTGGATAAGTCTCAGCTTCTGTTTTCTTATCTGAGAAATGGGGCTAACAATGCTTATCCCACACAGCAGAGGAAGTATAAGTAAAACAGTGTAGATGTATCCTCCCTCATTGCTCATGACTGAAACTTTACACCCACCAAGTAGTAGCTCCCATGGCTTCCTTTCCCTAGCCCCATTTTCTTTCTTTCTTTCTTTCTTTCTTTCTTTCTTTCTCTTTCTTTCTTTCTTTCTTTTTTTTTTTTTTTTTTTTCGAGACAGGGTTTCTCTGTGTAGCTTTGCACCTTTCCTGGAACTCACTTGGTAGCCCAGGCTGGCCTCGAACTCACAGAGATCCGCCTGGCTCTGCCTCCTGAGTGCTGGGATTAAAGGCGTGCGCCACCACCTCCCAGCCCCTAGCTCCATTTTCAATGAGTGTGACTGAATAAGTCCTCTCCTAAGTGGAATGTCACAGCATCTGTGATTTTGTGAGTGGCTTATGTCATTTTATAAAACGTCTCAAGGTTTATCCACATTGTAGTCCATAAGAACATTTCTTTTTAACCCAGCTTATATTTTGCTGTCTACATATACCACATTTTTTTTCTGCCTTCCGTTTTCAGTGGACAGCGATGATGTGCAATGACCATGGTTGTGTAATGTCTCCTTAAGGTCCTTATTTTAATTAATACCTTGGAAATGCTCTCAGGAACATGGTTGCTGAAACATGGTAGTTCTGCTTTTAGCATGTGAAGAGCCTGCAGACTGTTGCCCACAGTAACTGTACCATTCTGCATCCCTGCCAGCAGTGTGCAAGGAACCCATTTCCTTCTCATTCTTATACTCTTTTTTTTTTTTTTTTTGGATAAATCCTGACAAGTGTAAGATAATACCTCAATGTTTATTTGATTTGCATTTCCCCTAATAATTACTGACTGCGGTGATTCGAACAAGAATGACCTCTGCAGGCTTATATATTCGAATAGTTGGTCCCAGTTGATGGAACTGTTTGAGAAGGGGGTGGTGTGTCACTGGGAGTGGACATGTAGTTTCAGAACCCCACCCCATTTCCAGTTAGCTCTGTGCCCCGGGGATAATATATAAGCTCTGGTTACTGCTTCAGCACCGTGCCTGCTCCTGTGCTCCCCACCATGGTGGTCAGGGACTCTCACCCTGGAACTGTGAGCCCCAATCAATGTTTTCTTCTGTGAGTTTCTGTGCCCCATCACAGCAATAGAAAAGTCACTAAGACAGTGATGTTGAGGATCTTTGTATGTGTTGTGATCATTTGTAAATCTTCTTCTTTGGAGAAATGTCCTTGGTCTATTTTTAAATCAAGTCATTTGTCAATTTATCATTAAGTTGTAGTTGCTTTATATATATTCTGGCTCAAACTCCCTATCAGAATAATGGTTGGCAATATTGTCCCCCATTGTATACTTCACTTTTTCCCTCTGTTGACTATTTCCTTGTCATACAGGATTTTCTAGTTCAATTTGTCTTCTTTTTGCTTTTATTACCTGTGACTTTGAATTTTTTTCTTTAAGTTAAGGGGCTGGAGAGGTGGTTCAGTGGTTAAGAACATTGTCTGCTCTTACAGCAGACCCAAGTTAGATTCTGGGCACCGTGGTGGCTCACAATGGTCTATAATTCTAGTTCCAGGGGACCTGACGCCCTCTGCTGGTCTCTGTGGGTATTGCAGACACTTGGTGCACAGACATACCGTGCAGGCAAAACATCTGTGCACATAAAATAAGATACTCATAAAAATTTTAAGTTAAAAATGTTACAGTTGAAAGATGATAAGCAAGACCCCCACCACATGGTGGGGAGAGTTCAGATCCAGCCTGACTTCAGATCTATGAAGAAAGAGAAAACTGGGATGGGGGTGATAAACATGGAAAATAATATGCATGACCAGGGAAGAGCCGATGCCTGATCTGTGTCTTAACCTTATTTCAGGTCACCACTCACCTAAATCAGAGTAATAGCATCTAGGGACTTCTCACACATTTCCAAACCCCATCCTAATTTGCCTTTAGGGGCAGCTGAGCAGGAGCTCTGAAACCCCAACTCTCCGCATCCTGCTTCAGGGAACTAACTCATTTTCAATGGTCTTCATTCCTTTCCAGGGGGTTTTGGAATGGGAAGCAAGTCAGCTGCCAGCAGCCCGACAGGCTCATCACATGGCACCCCTACCCATCAGAGCAAGCCCCAGACTCTGGATCCCTTCGCTGACCTGGGCACACTGGGTATGAACTTATCAGATTACGATCTGAATAGTACTTGATGTTAACATCAGCTGAGGCGGGACAGAGGCCCAGCTCCACACTGATCCTATAGCAGCGCGAGACTTCCCTTAATCTTTATGAGACCTCAACTCGGGTAAAACTGAATCCTTGGCCTCAATGCAAAGTGGAATTGGAGTTTAAGCACCAGTCTTAAGAGAAAGGGAGGCACCAGGGAAGAAATTAAAGCGTGCTAGAGAAGCCGGGCGGTGGTGGCGCACGCCTTTAATCCCAGCACTCAGGAGGCAGAGGCAGGTGGATCTTTGTGAGTTTGAGGCCAGCCTGGGCTACAGAGCGAGATCCAGGAAAAGGCTCAAAGCTACACAGAGAAACCCTGTCTCAAAAAACCAAAAAAACCAAAAAAAAAAAAAAAAAAAAAAAAAAAAAAAAAAAAAAAAAAAACGTGCTAGAGAACGTGGGTGTGGGCTTCTCAAAGTAGAGCCCCATGTAATGTCTTAGCATTAGCCATGTAGACTGTTTCGATTTCTTTCAAGTTATATCTTGAAGGGTTGTTAGCAGCTTTTGTGTGTTCATTTCAACTAATGAGTTTATAGAGTGGCTCCAGAGGTGCCCTGGGTGGGATTATAATTTGATAAAAACAACACAACACAGCAACAACAACAACAAAAGCAGGAGCCACTAGGGTCACACACGGGGTTTAGAGCATGCACTTTTACCTACCGTAAAGGAGATTTTCTGGTGAGATTCATAGAAAAGTGAAGGTTTACCCCTGGGAAGAGAGAAAGGCTTTGGATAAATATTATGTTAGAATTCTTCATTCTCAGTCCCAAACAAGCCAAATACAAAAGCAGCGGAGGGAAATAAGGGATTAAGATTGGGGCATAAATTAATGAAAATAGAAATGAACAAATTAATACAAGAAATAAAGCAATGAAGAGAAGATTGATAAGTAAGATGGGCAGACCTTCACCGAACTAAAGAGAAGACCCACATGGATAAAATTAGAGATGAAAAAGGGTAAATTACACTGGGCGGTGGTGGCCCATGCCTTTAATCCCAGCACTTGGGAGGCAGAGGCAGGTGGTTCTCTGTGAGTTTAAGGCCAGCCTGGGTTACAGAGTGAGTTCCAGGAGAAGCACAAAGCTACACAGAGAAACCCTGTCTCAAACAAAACAAAACAAAACAAAAAACCAAAACCAAAACCAAACAAAAAAAAAGAAAAGAAAAACTGTAAATTACAATGGATATCAGTGAAGTTCATAAATTCATGAGGACATACTTTAAAAATGTATATTCCATTAAATTGGAAACCCTAGAAGAAATGGTTGCACTTCTAGATCATTTGACCTAACAAACTTAAATAAAGATGAAAAGCAGTTCAAGCAGCCGTGTAACAAACAAGGAAACTGAAGCAGTGATTTGGAAAAAAAAAAAAAAAAAAAAAAGAATCTGCAACTGAGAAACTCCAGGCCCAGATGTATTCATGGCTGAATTATACCAGAGTACTGCAGAGGAAGTAGTACCTGCTCAAAGCATCTGTAAAATTAAAAGAAAGACCCAGTGGTGGTGGTGGTGGCGGTGCACGTCTTTAATCCTAGCACTTGGGAGGCGGGGCAGGCAGATCTCTGAGTTCAAGGCCAGCCTGGTTTACAGAATGAGTTCAAAGACAGCCAGGGCTATACAGAGAAACCCTGTCTTGAAAACAAACAAACAAAAAAAGAGAAGGTACACATCCAGGAGTCAGTTTTATCCTGATACTTAAACCAGATAAAGTTACAACAACAACAGGAAATTATGGGCCAATCTCCCTGATGAAAATACTTGGAAACTGAATTCACACAAAAAACGATCATGCACCATGATCAATTTAACTTCATTCCAGAAATGCAAGGATGGCTCAACATATGCAAATCAATAAACATGATGCATCACATACATGGACCCAAGAACAGAATTCTTGACAAAATCCAACAGCCTTTGATGAAAGCTTTTGAAGAGCTAAGAATGGAGGGATCGAATCTTAACATAAAGTCTATATAAGACAGACCTCTAGCCAGTGCTAAACGAAGGTGGGGGGGAGGGGAAGTGTCACAACCCCCTTCTCACAACCTGGCTTCTTAAACGTCTCTACTTTCTATGGGACACAGCTTAGAAATTTTAAGTGATTTTTCTTCCCCACTGAAGTGACACAATGAACAGATACCAGTGAGAGCTATAAGCTAAAATTTTGGCTCTTTAGATGAGTTGTCTGATAATAAGAAGTAAGCATCCGGGGCTGGAGAGATGGCTCAGAGGTTAAGAGTATTGACTGATCTTCCAGAGGTCCTGAGTTCAATTCCCAGCAACCACATGGTGACTCACAACCATCTATAATGAGAATTGGTGCCCTCTTCTGGCCTGCAGCCATATATGCAGGCAGAACACTATACATAATAAATAAATTTAAAAAAAAAAGAAAACAGGAAAGAAAAAAAAAGTAAGCATCCAGAAAATACAGCACTAACTCAGGAAAAAAAAAAAAAAAAAAAAAGACAGAGGCCTCGAATGAACCAGTTCTAATACAAACATCAATGCCTAATTCCTCACTATGTATTCTGATGGAAGTGGCCTACATGTGGCTTTGGTCGGGGAGGAAACCTTCTGAGTCCCAGGTGACCTCTTCTGGGATACACAGTGGCTAATGACCGAAGAAGTTCACCTTTGATCTGAGATCAATTAAGCCAGGGTCCAGGGACAGGAGAGGGCAGCAAGGGTGACTTCTAAATTGAAACCTGTGGTATGGTTAGGTGTGGGTAGAGGAAGGAGTCCAGTCAGAGGGGAGGGCTAAAATGACTGCTAGTGAGAAGACCTGGGATCTATGGAGAAGTGGGGCTGAGAAGGTAAAGCCGACTCAAGGAAGACTTCGGGTTGCTTTACTCTAACTTGTATGCAAATTTGGAAAGTAGTTTTGTCTTTTAGGAAGATTGTCTGAATTCAGGAATGGCGGAAACCACTTGCTATTTAATAGAGGAAATGAGTAGAAATTGTTGGCAGGTCAAAAGGGAAGCTGAAGGACAGGGCAATTTTAATCCCTCTCAGACTTGCTAGCAGGGCTTGGAGAAAGACCACCTCCATTGTGAACCAATAAGCTTCAGTTTCCTCGTTTGGTAGGTATTTGTGACTATGCACCCTCTGCTAAGCATTCTGGATGCAATAATGAATGAAGGCAGATAGCATTCTTGCCCAGAGGACCTTACAGTATGGTAGGAGAGAGAAACGTTAATCAAATATAAAATACCTACCGCGTAGGTGCTGTGCTAGGTGAGACATTGAATGAGAAGTTCCCTGGATAATCCCGATACCCAGTCAAGATTGAAAACTGGGGCTTCTTCCGCTTTTGTGGGGATGGCTGTGACCTGGGCCTAACAGCTCTGCTGTCTTTCGGCCAGTTCACTGCTTCGATAACATCAGCATGTGGTATCGTTGCATTTGAGTATGCCATATTCTGGAAAGGTAGATGTTACAAAGCCATACATCATTGGCAGGTCCCTGGAGAGCGATGTCAGCACCCACCATTTCATTGCTGGGTCCACAGCCTGGTGTGTAGAAGATGTTCAAAGTGGTTCCTAAATAAACGAACAAGTGATGGGTTTGGTGGGCATCTGGGAGATGCGTTTAGTTCGTGAGGTTTTCTCCTATGAGTAGGAGATAAATCAAATGTTACAATGATGAACAGATGTATTTAGAACAAAGTAGGCATTCTTAAAGTAGAAAATGAATCTTTATTTTTCATACAAAATACCCAGCCTTATGTGTGTGTTGATGTGCTAGGGATAGGAGGGGCCAGGGGCCCTTGCAGAGGGCTCCTTGCTATATGTTTCAAATAACAGCAGCAAGCAGAGCATGCTGGTATTGCCTGTATTCCCAAGCACTTCAGGTGAGGCAGGAGGATCACCAGTTTGAGGCCAGCCTGGCATACCTAGGGAGCTTTAGACTATGTGGGTTATATAGTAAGACCTTGCCTCAAAAGAGAGGGTGGTGATAGGAAATTGCAGGGGCAGTGATAGACTCGTGTGACAGCGTGTAAATATTGTTTTCTATGACCAGATGCTTATTGAGTCCCTTACAACGTGTCAGACTTGTGGTTGGTGTTGTTTTGTGATGTGTAATGGACCTGAGTTCACTTAATTCAGGGACTGTGAAGCTCCTCTTCTATAAACTGTGTGTTTGTACTGTACTTCTGATAAAGACATAGTCATTTCATAGATGAGAAAATTGAAGCTCACGGAAACGAACATTTCATCTAGTTTTGGAAAAGCAAGAAGCCTTGTTTTCGCATAATCCCAGTGCCTGACATGGTACCTGGCACATGGCAGTCATCCAACAATGGCTGGTGGATGACTTAGAACCCGTGCGTAAAAGAGAGAATGAATGGTACGTAAGTGCCACCGCTGAACTCCAGCAGGTGGACTCGAAATTCAGTACCTATAATGCAGCATCCTCGTGTGCAAGGGAAGCCGAGTCTCGGGGTCCAAATGAAAGGGCATAGCTGTAGCAGAAAGACACAGTAAGGGGTGAGCCACTCAGAGCTTTGGGAAGAGCTTGAGACTCTGGGTGCAGGGGTGCAGAGGTAAGATTCCCATGGTCAGGGCGTGGCATTGACCAGCTGTGAGATCGTGAACTTGTTAATGAACCTTAGCTTTGAGTCGTTCTTCTTTTTTTTTTGGTTTTTCGAGACAGGGTTTCTCTGTGTAGCTTTGTGCCTTTCCTGGAACTCACTTGGTAGCCCAGGCTGGCCTCGAACTCACAGAGATCCGCCCGGCTCTGCCTCCCGAGTGCTGGGATTAAAGGCGTGCGCCACCACCGCCCGGCGAGTCGTTCTTCTTTAAACCCAGCCAGCGATACAATTTACCCACACTTGACAAACTGTTAGTTGTTTTATTATCGTTGTTATTTTGACTCTTTGAAGGATCAATGGAGATCAGGATATTTCAGCTTCTCATTTTTACCTCCACACATACTGGCCCTCCTGCAAAGGAATGCAAGCAGTGTAAAACCGGAACCTGTTTGTGAAATTTAAAAACATCTATAGCTGCCCTTGTGTCCTAACCAGGCTTTTCCTTATAGCAAATGATAATTAATCCTAATAATTGTCATTTAAACAGAACCTTAAAGAGGCTATTTGTCTTATTGCCTGTTCTTGTCACTGGGTAGTTTTGGCTCTAAATAAAACTTGCTTAGTTTTATTTGGGGCAGGCTGGGCAGGGTGACGCAGTCAGGCTCTTCTGGCTTGGTCTAGTTCAAGTGTTCTGCCCGATGCTGGCTGGGTGTCATAGAGACAAACCACTGAAGTATTCTGAGTTACTCTCTGTTCATCTGAAGAAATGAATGAGGTAAGGGGTACTCCCTAAAAGTAGCACTGGGCTGATTAAGGAGATAACAGATATGCAGACATGCCTGCGATTTTGTTACCTTTTAGGGAGGTTAGTTCTGTTACCATCCAAAGCAGTTTCCAGTAAACTGATTGCAAGCAATGCCTTGCGACGCGAGTTCAAAGCCACTCCACCTTGCCTTACCTCCTCTCTCTCTTTTCCTCCATAGGTAGCTCTTCATTTGCCAGCAAACCCACCACACCAACGGGATTAGGGGGAGGATTTCCACCTCTCAGCTCACCACAGAAAGCATCCCCCCAGCCAATGGGTGGAGGGTGGCAGCAGCCAGCCGGCTACAACTGGCAGCAGACGCAGCCTAAGCCGCAGTCCAGCATGCCTCACTCCTCCCCCCAGAACCGTCCCAATTACAACGTGAGCTTCTCAGCTATGCCTGCTGGACAGAGCGAACGTGGGAAAGGATCTACCAATTTGGGTGAGGATGATGAGATGGGCCTGCTGTAGATAGATAATCGGCCTGTGTGGTTACACTGCTGGGGATGTTATGTCTGAAGGAGATAAAAACCAGTCACAGAGTTTATGAGACCGTCTTAGAGTTGAAGAGACATCAGGTGATCCACACCCCCAGGACTGTGTGCGGAGCACCTGGGCCTACCATAACCCCACACAGGTGTCATGTGACTATGGCTCTCTCAGTCTTTCCTTGTCCATGCTGGAGTATGAAGGAAGGCTTTTGTCAAAGTTTTTCAAACCTAGCATAGCACTTGCTGTATTTTAAGTCTTAATACATGTTGATTGGAGGGGTAGATGGGACAGAAAACTATTTCCTTTGGAATAAGGAAGGTATTCTTAGGAGAAAAGGATGGAACCTGTCAAAATGGCTTCTTAAGGACAGAGATGGCAAAAGATTCCCAACAAGGAAAAAAAAATACTGCGGGTTGATTACTACTGACTACATGGGCTGTTGTGGTTTTGTTCAGTTTTGTTTTCCAATGAACACTGAGATAACCAGGCATGCTTTTAGCTCATTCTCATGACAACACTATATTGTTTCCTCATTTCTCTAGATTAAGAAACTGAAGTATAGACACCTGTGGTCATAGCTGGATTTCAGACACATAACATTTGTTTCTAGGATCTGCCTCTTCAAAAAGACCGAGAGAAGTTTAGTTCCCAACCAGACTTGCAGGGGAAGGGCACTCTGATCCATTGAACCCATCAGCTGGGTATAGACAGGGAAGTGATAGCAGGGAGGATTTCACGGACTTGAATCTAGGCTCTTGTCCAGTCTCTGACACTAGTTCATTGTAATTGTGGTAGAATCATGAGTATCTTTGTCTGCAAAGTTATACTGGAGATGAAATAGGCATTAGTGATCCAGACTCCAGACCTGCGCTTGCCGTAGACACGTTGTGTGATTCTGGACAGGCCCCTTGGGCTCTCCAGCCTTCCATTTTCCTCATTTGTTACACAGAGCTCTTACTGTTTTGCATGGTGTGAAGAGGGTGGAAGTATGGAAAAACTACTTGGAAGCCCCATACTTCCAAGAAGCGAGGGTTTGCCATTCTGTTTAGGAATGAACGTTGTGATGGTTTCCAAATATTGTGTTACAGAAGGGAAGCAAAAGGCTGCTGACTTTGAAGACCTGCTTTCTAGTCAAGGTTTCAACGCCCACAAAGACAAGAAGGGGCCTCGAACAATAGCTGAGATGAGAAAGGAGGAAATGGCTAAGGAAATGGACCCTGAGAAATTAAAGGTGAGTGAGCCCCTTGATCATCCTGTAGGACAAAAATGTGTGACAAAGTCATATATGTCCAATCACCCCGGTATTGGTTGCCTTTATGTGGGTTACTAGGGACTAAATACTTGATAGATACAACTTGAGGATGAAAAGATTTGCTTTGGCTCATGGTCTCGGGAGATTTCAGTTTACTGTGACAAGAGAGGCGTGGCAATGGGCTCGTGCAGGGTGGCTGTTCACGTGGAAGCAGACAGGGATCAGAGAGAGGGGTACTGCAGCAAGGGGTGGCTAGGGAGAACCTTCGAAGGCCCACTCCTAGGGAGCTACTTCTACTAGCTAAGCCCCTGCAGGTTCCACAGTCTCCCGAAAGACCATCCACTGGTGAAAAGATGCTCAAAACACGAGCTTGTGGAGAAGAGTTTGAATCATAACATCCCCCAAGGGCCCTACCTCCTAATGCCATACACCACCTCGGGTGTTACAACTCAACATTGACTCTAGGGTGGGACACAGACCATATCAACTAGGGAAGGCACTTCATTCTGGCAGTCACTCTATTACGGTGGGTCTCTGAAGCTGTGGTTTGACGACAGTCGGGTTCTTCAATAGCAAAGTGGCTTTGGAAAGGTCTGTGCTTGGTGCTTAATTTTAGCCCGTGGTTTGGTAATACAGACTCCTTACATTTGCCCACCAGATGAACAATGATATTCAGCTTTAAAGTTCAGAAGCCTTTAGATTATAAATATCGGTCATTAGAGTTTGGTGAGAACAATTCACTATTGGTATTTTCTGTCCACCTTGAGAACTTTCTGCTGCTCTTGGTTGATGGAAACAACGTTTCAGTTCTCTGTTGATCAAGAGAGATTAGGTATGAGATTTGTATAGATTGAGGAAAGGGGAGCTAATAATGGTGAGGACCTTGGCCTCTACTACACACTCCTTCTGCTTTTAAGCTAAAGAAGTTCTACTTTTTCTTAAAGCAAAAAACAAAACATCTGTTTTTGATTCTAAAGTTCTAAAGAATCAGTTTGGTGGAAAGGAGAATGATTTTTTTTTTAAAGAAAAAAGACATGTGTCGCTCAGTGAATTTAAGTTCCTTAACTCTAGATAAGGAAGTGAGTTTTTCATAGGTGAGGCTGTAGTGTGGACAGCCAGACACAGAAAAAGAAGTGAGTTCTTCACAGGTGAGGCTGTAGTGTGGACAGCTAGATGCAGATAAGAAAATAAGTTCTTCACAAGTGAGGTTGTTGTGTAGACAGCCAGATGCAGATAAGGAAGTGAGTTCCTCACAAGTGAAGCTGTTGTGTGGACAGCCAGATGCAGCTAAGGAAGTGAGTTCCTCACAAGTGAGGCTGTCATGTGGACAGCCAGATGCAGATCATCAGCCTGGAGGCAGAAGGTGGTTCTGAAGATGAGTGGTGTGAGGTTGTTGATGAGTACATAAAGATCAAAGAGTTATGTTGCAGGATATTTGATCACACTGAACCCTGAGATTGTGTTATTTTCTGGAAAAACCTGTTTCTAGCTGTGGTGTGGTTCAGCCCTAGCACACACCTTTAATCCAAGAGCTTTCTGCTTGAATATTGTAAACAGGATTAAATAAAGTCAACCACAGGTCAAGAGGTGGAGCAAGCAATCAGTTGACAGGAAGTGAACATAGGATTATTAAGAAAAAACAGAGAGTAAGAGAGAGTCAGGAGGATAGATAGAGATGCACAGGAAGTAGAAGGGAGGAACATTCAGTTTGAAGAGTCTTGTTTGAGATGATGTGGAGAAGGTGGGAGGCTTCTGGGATGTCAGCTGAGGAGGAAGGTCAGCTGGTTGCTTTCTCTGTCTCTGAGCTAGCAGGCTTTCACCCCAGCACCTGCTCCCAAGTCTTTTTTGATAAAATCGAATGATTGAGATTTTGTTAAAAACTACAGAGTTATAAAGCTTATCCCAGTTGGAGAGGTTGAATTGTTCATGCAGTAGGTTAGGTGGCATTTTTTCCCCTTGTGGCGGGAGTCAAACTCAGGGCAGGTATTCTACCTCTGAGCTACATCCTAGCACAACTTTGGCCTACATGAAAGGAATATTTATTTAGTTAAGGGAACAAAGTAGACCCAGGTGTGACCTCATGAAGTTCATATGTTAAGAGTATATAATTAGCTGTAGGAAGACAGAAAGGAGTTCCGACTGCAGAGGTGTAGTCTGAAGTTCAAGAACAGCTTTTGAACAATGATGTAGACTGGAAGGATGAGGAGGGAGGTGGGGGAGTGTCTCCTGCTCAGATTCACTGAAACAGAATAGACCTTCAGAGTTCTGGTAGATAGAAAGTGTTTGACTGTCTTTACCCCTTTTGTATTTCCTGTTTGCAGATCCTGGAATGGATAGAAGGCAAAGAGAGAAACATCAGAGCCCTGCTGTCCACGATGCACACTGTGCTGTGGGCCGGCGAGACCAAGTGGAAGCCCGTGGGCATGGCAGACCTGGTGACGCCAGAGCAAGTGAAGAAAGTGTACAGGAGGGCTGTGTTGGTGGTGCACCCGGACAAGGTGGGTAGGACCTGCCCTGTCAGAGACTGGCCTGGTCCTTGTTTCAGACTTGAGAAGCATAGGATAAAACAGCATGCTTTCGGTTTGCTGATTGATGAAGACAGCTAGTCAACAAAACTTACCCTGTGGGTCATTTAAACCAGGTATCTAAACAAATAGTCATACTTCATGAGGCTGGCAGAAAGCAATCCAAGCATCCTTTACAAACACTGGGGCAAGCATTGTATTAACCATGGAAGTGCAGCACTCATCCGTGACTTAGTTTTAGGGCTTACAGGTGATCTTGAACTACAATAATAAAACAAGACTGAGTACTTCAAAGGAAAATTCAGTTCCCGTGGAGGGCAGGATCATGTCTAGCCAGAATTCCAGGAGACACTCTAGGGAGGATTTGGAACACAAAATATTGGTAAGGATCAACAAGATTTTTAAAATGTCAGTGTGTGTTGCAATTGATGCTCATGGTTTGAATAAATTACGAGAGCATATAAGGGCTCCACGGGATCAGAACTTCAGTTCTTTCCTGGCTGAGTTCATTGTAATCTGCAACAGTACCTCAGCCTGAAGCATGCTACCCTGCTGTCATGTGACCTGTAACAGACATGTGACATGAAGTCGTGCTTGCAGTGCCTCTGGGATACATGTTTGAAGTCATGTGTGATTTCTATCTCTCGGCACTCCTTATAACTAAATAGAATAATTAATGAGAAATAATATTAATGCTTGGACTTTGATCAGTCAAAAGAGAAATCGGAGCCCAGAGAAGCTGGCAAAGTGCCCTCTTATGAGTCTCAAAGACCTTAACTTTATAGAAATTGGAAAAGGGGAATTTGGAAATACAGTCAGCTGGAGATAGGGTTTTCATTAACAAAGAGATGCATCTTTTACTGTCCAGCAAGCTCCCAATTTTCTCCTTATTGATAGCTTTCTGTTATTTTCTGTGAGTTTCCAGGGCAGTGCTCAGTAATTAATTTCATATAGGTAGGCTGTAAAAAGAAATGTCTTAATGGAAGAGCATTTTAATTACCACCCACATTCTCAGTGAATTTAATATAAGTTTAATTTTAAACATCTAATTGTATTTTGTGTTTTCTTTAGGCTACTGGGCAACCCTATGAACAATATGCAAAGATGATTTTCATGGAGCTAAATGATGCCTGGTCTGAATTTGAAAACCAAGGCCAGAAGCCCTTGTATTAATTTGTGAGCTTTTCTATGCTGGCTGCAGCCCTGTGTTAACGCTTAGTGTGTATTACAGTTCTGAGATTTTCACAGATGAACCAAAAATTCCAGTAATGTATTTCTAGTACTAAACTGTTAAGTTCCTCATGAATTCATTTCTCATGATAAGAAATGTGAATGTTTGGTTTCTTGAAGTCCATAGCACCAAGAACTCTAGCAAGCTGACCTTGCAGAGTTATACATTCCAGCCTGCCCTCTGGGAAGCCTCCTCAGCATTTTGCCTGGGGAAATGGGACCGAGGCCACCCAAGGCGAAGGCATGACATCCATCTCATTGTCTGAGACTAAGATTTATGAGTGGACGTTATGATAATTGGATTACATAATGGTTTTAAGGAATTGATTTAGGGATATTTTTTGTTTGTGTTTTGTTTTTAAAAGATGTAATTTGAGCAATGCCTTTACACAAACTCCAATAATATCACCAACCAAGTGTTTTTTTTTTAATGGAAATTTACTGGAGCCTTTCGCTCCTGTAGTGTGTTTTTTGATCAAGAGTGGTAACCATTATAGAAGTGGCTAGACGGTGGGCTGTGATTATGCAGAAATCTGGGCACTACCCCTAACTTTTCCTGGATGAACTGCAAGCCCAAATACAGGATAGTTGAAGAGACCAGGAGGCTTGAGATGTCGAATCTCAACTTCCGTTCAGGACATTGGGCTACTGGCTCCCTTTCCCTTAAAAAAAAAAAACCTGTGGTTGATTAAAGAGAAACTTCGGAACACTACCACCACCACAACTCCAAACCTATTTAAAAGCGCCTTCTAATTGCTGCCACGAGGCTTAGTGCGCTTTCTTTTGCTTAGTCAAGAAACCATTCTTCATGGGCGACAGTTTGTAAAGCAGTTTGGCCCATTCACAGTTGGTATGGACCTGGTGTTCTGGTGGTCTGTATCGAGCTATGAGGAAAACAGAGAAGACAACACTGAGTGAGGAGAAGGGTTCAGTTGGGGAGAGAGCTGTGTGTATCTTTGGATAGCTTTGTCAGTTTGAGGAACCAGAGTCCCACCCACCCAGTGAATCTGGACCCCCTGGATTATTTCCGCTGGGTTTGCTGTTGGATGCCTGTGAAAAATATGCAAGAATGAAGCTTTCCAGACCTCCAGCTGGTTGGATTTTAGCCCAGTGTTCAGTGCTTCCTACTCTGCAGGGTAAGCAGCTTGTATTGCTGGGACTTCACTAGGTCTCCTGGTGAGCACATACGCAGCATCTCTCTACGCATGTATGCATATGGACATGTCTAATGTGCACATCCATCGTCACAAAGCAGGCGGTCAAGAAGATTTTCATTTTAATCTTAAAAGGTTCGCACTCACTGTTGTGAAAGGCTTTCAAAAATTGTTTTCAAAGACAATCATTTTGTTTGTTTGTTTCTGTTTTAATATTCTTGTGACAAATTGAATGGGAAAAGCAGCATGTCAGAAATACTTTTGTTCTATATAGATCTCTCTTTTCTTTCTCTCTGTTTTTTAATTATAAAAGTTCTTTTTTTTATTTTACCTTTTATGGATAATGTGAAATTCTCAAAAAACAATTGCTCTCTCTTAAGTATACAGCTATAAACTGTTCAAAGTAACCATGAGAACCTAGGTGTTATTTATTAACGTATTATACGATGATGTCGTACCCAGTATGTGCTTGTCCTATTTAAGATTGGGATGTAAGACATGTTGCTGTGACCTGTTTTGTTTTTTGGGGTTTTTTTTTGGTTTTTTGTTTTATTCTTCATTCACATTTGTAGATATTGTGTGAACTACAGTATATAATGACAATAATTAAGAGGATATTATGTGGCTGTTACGTACATTTTGAAATGATAGGACTATATTAGCTTTGTGCCATGTTTGCATAGCTCATTAATGTTCATGGTTTAAATACCACTAAATGTTATGCGACTAGCAATGAAAAAGAACCCCTCCTTAAATCTGGGGGTTTCCCACCTCTTTCCCAGATGCATTATGATTCTGGATGCCTGTCTATCTTAAAACTTTTAACACATGCAGACCAATAGGTTCTGCATTCCTCTTAAATACCTGGTTGTGACAGCTTGTTGTTGGTCAGATCCACTGTCTCATTCATATTTATTGTAATATATTTTTGTTTTGTAAATACGTTAAACACAACAAAATGTCATTGTTCTAAAATATTTGTAATGTATATTAAAAAGGATAAAAATACTTGTAGAAATAGTCGTTATTTTTGTACTTGTGGGAATGTAAGGGGCTAGAGCAGTGGTTCTCAACCTTCCTAATGCAGTTCCTCAGGTTGTAGTGACCCCAACCATAAAATTATTTCTGTTGCTACTTCATAACTGTAATTTTGCTACTGTTAAGAATCACAATGTACCTATTTTTGGAGATAGAGATTTGCCAAAGGGGCTGCGACCCCATAGGTTGAGAACCGCTGGGCTAGAGAGATGACTCAGTGGTTAAAAGTGCGTATTGCTCTTGCAGAGGACCTGGCTTTGGGTTTCTGCACCCACATTGGGAGTCTCACTGCCTGTAACCTCAGTTGTAGAACGATCTAATGCCCTCTTTTGGTCTTCATAGGCACTTGCACTGATGTACACATGCCGCCTCCCCCATATGCATGATTAAAAATAAACTAAATCATTAAAAAACAAAAGAAAACAAATGAGATAAGACATGCAATGACAAAGTTGAAAGATACCTTCTGACCTGATTTGCTTTTAAGGCACAGTAAGGGGAAAGAATGTGAAAAGTGCAGAATACATTTGCATCGAAATGTGACCTGACAAGATTCTACAGTGATACTTTCATCTCCCAGTATCATTCATGCCCTAAGACAAAACGACAGACAAGACATTCAGACAGATGGATAAACAGACGGACAGACAGACAGACAGACAGACACACACACACACACACACACACACACACACACACACACACACAGATCATGCCTAATTAATACTGTGTTGCAAAAGGAAATCCTATTCTCCTCACGTGAATATTAATGCATTTTCATCCGTATGTGTCAGGGAGGTTGATCTGTAATTTGGGACTTTACCACAGGGCAGGAACATTTGTAGACATGCTGTACCAGAGCATTTGAGCCACTGCTGTGCTTGTGCATTTAGATTCAGAGTCTCAAGTCAGTACCAGTGCCACGGTGAGACCCCACCTAGTAAGAAGTCAGCATGAAGGTGTAATTTCAGAGGAAGTTAGCACAGTGCAGGTCAGTTCCCATGCTGGAAACACCAGACCAGAAAATGTAGGTCAAATTAAGAGGTTTTCATTATCCTAAAAATAAGCCATACAGTTTGCAGCATGGTGCTATGTGTTGGTCTGAAACTAAAAAAGTAGCTTTAAATCTTGATTTTTTTTCCTACTTAATATCTGTTATATTAACAAATACCTTAAACTCTCTGAGTCCCGATTTTATCATTTGTAGAATAGATTCCTCACGACTCTTCCATGGAAGAATTAGGGACCATGGGTGTAAACTGTTATCACAAGGATTCTAACCAATAAACTATTCTACTGTTGATGATAAATGAGACACAGGGTAGCACTGATAGCTTTGGAGCAGCAGCTACATTGGAGCCCTCAGGTTTGAGAAATGGGGACAGGAGATGGAAAGTCTGCTGGAAACACCTGCTCTTTGGCACTTCTTCCTGTCTCCATGGGGTGGGGATGGGGTGAGATCTGGGTGTGGAAAATGGCAGTTGTTGGTAGCTTCTGTAGATGGGATAACTGTGGGCAAAGAAGGGAAATCTGTTTATTAATTTCTGTTAGTGTCATAGCATGTTTCCGTTTAACTGATGCGCTGACCTTAGAGCCTGCCTGAGGCTCAGAGGATACCTTGTGCTGATCTTACATGTATGGTCTTGTAAGAGCTGGGGTTTGAGAAAGGTGTTTTCTATGGGATAGGGAGAGGCAATACTGTTTATAGTAAACTTACTAGTATTTGCTACGTCAGGCCTCAGAAAAATGACCACAAACTGAAGACCTCAGAAGCCAAATTTCTCCAATCTCCCATCTTCCTTCCGTAGGGAGATCATAGAGATGAGCATTCATTTTTGCCTTGGCAGGTCATAGAACCCACGCCCTTTGCTTAAAGCCAGACATAAAACCTGAAGTCACCTTCATTTTCCTCCCTTTCTGCCGTGAGCGTTGACCTTTGCAAGTTCTTTCACCTTCTTTGATTAGACCATAAGCTTACTAGTCCAGGAAGGGTCCTGTGCCGTATCTGGAAGGAGGAATGCTGCACAGAGCATCCGAGAAGAATGTGAATAGACAGACCTTTCAGATTTCCATCTGAGTCCATCACTATTGGAGCAGACTCCTTTTGACCCATCATATTTCTATGTGACTTTCGGTGCTTCATCAGACCTAAACACAAGAAGGCATAGCACACACACACTCCTTGAGTCCTCAACTCGTAGGCTCCTGTGTCATTTAAAACTATGATCAGATAAATTTGTTGTGATTTTTCTCGTGTAACCCGTCTTTTGGTATAGTGGCATGGGCCGTGAAACTTTATGAATGGGAAAGGGATCACACCTTTTTTTGCTCCCACAGTTAATAGAGATAACTTTGGTATATACCATAGGCAAGACATTAGTAAATATGTAGATTGATATGAAATCAATGACTTGCTTTGAACACCCTCCTACACATATGGCATTCCTGTTATTTCTCAACACTATCAACCCCTGCCTCCTCTCTGAACTACTGTGAGGAGAGAACAGTTCTGAGTGGCTAAACTGAGTGTTCCAGGGCTTGATCTCAGCTTTCCTGTTCCCGGGTCACTATTTGAACCTTGCTTTTACCGGCTATAATAAAGTGGAGATAATAAAATCTAGTTCATAGCGTTTGAAACTTGAACTAAGGAGGAAACATTAAGATTCATCCTAAGTACTCTATTCTAGTGGTAGGCAGTAAGACGGAGGCCCAGGTCGTGTACAGTCCAGTAGCATAGAAATGGCTGGTTGGGGTGAGACGCAGGTTTTGGTGGCTCTTCTTGTGGAAATGTGGAATGGGTGAGTACAGTGTAATATCTGGCAAAAGAAAAGCCTGATTTCTCAGGTGATGGTCAAACCCTCTGGCAAGGTGACATTTTTAACGTGTTCAGTGAACTGCAAGGGCAGTGGTGTGGCAGAAAGCAGCTGGAGATACACTCACTGTCTCAGAATTGTCCTGGTCCCAAACATGACCCTGGGGCCAACAACTAACTTTCTCTTTTTCTCTTTTTCTTTCTTTCTTTCTTCCTTCCTTCCTTCCTTCCTTCCTTCCTTCCTTCCTTCCTTCCTCCCTCCCTCCCTCTCTCTTCTATCTTTCTTTCTCTCTCTCTCTCTCTCTCCCTCTCTCCCTCTCTCTCTTCCTTCCTTCTTTTTTTTCTTTTTTCTTTTTTTTTTTTTGTTTTTTCGAGACAGGGTTTCTCTGTAGTTTTTGCGCCTGTCCTGGAACTCACTTTGTAGACCAGGTTGGCTTCGAACTCACAGAGATCCACCTGGCTCTGCCTCCCAGTGCTGGGATTAAAGGCGTGCGCCACCACCGCCCTCCTCCCTTCCTTCCTTTCTGTTCCTCCTCTTCTTTCTCCTTCTTCTTACCATTTTTCAGTATTTTTTTTTTTTTTTTTTTTGCCAAGCTTTGGACATTCACACTACACTGCCTCTGATGTCAGTTTCTCTCAAATCATGGGATTAGATGCAGGGTGACATAGAAGACTTTGGCAAACCCCTCTACATGGTCTTTCAGGGACAAACTGAATGCTTGAGAGTGTCAGGAGAATGTATCCTAATCATTTAAAGTGGGAAAATATCCTAGCTCCTCACTAAAGTAGCTCAATGGTTAGTTATAAAGGAGGAATTAAAAACAGGCTCGACGGAGCAATTTCCTTAATGCTTTTACAGGTACTACAATGCCCTCTTCTCATCAGGTGTATTGTCCACGATGTTGGCAGATGCCTGACACTGCGGATAGTACCAGACCCTATGTACACTGTTTATTCTATACACACTTACGATGAGTGGCTTAACTTGTAATGGTTACAATATGATTAACAGTATAAATTTTAAAAATCGTTATATTGTAATCAGTTATGCAAATGTTATGTTTCCCAAAAATGTGTTTCTTCGTGGTTCTTATCTTCTTAACCTCATCTAAGGAGCTGTTTGGCACAGTTCCTATCCTTTCTGAATCCCTTTCTGTAGAGGGTTCCGACTGGATGGTTTCTAAGATAAAGATTCTGGATGAAGGTAAGAAAAAAAAAAAAAACCAAAACGGCTCTGGGGAAGCGAAAATTGGCCTTAGTTACTTGCAGATCCACGTTGCAAAAAAATAATAGTTCTTTATTTAAAGACTCAGCAGAACTTTGGACCCAAAGAGTCTGTATAGTACTTATCGCTGCAAATAAACAAGAATGAAGGAGACAGACGGACACACTAGTTTACACAACATGTTAATGCAGCTACAAAGCATCTAGAATATCCTGGGGCAGCATCTGAGACCGAAGCCACGACTGTGAGGGAGGTTTGGTACCCAGACTGAGGGGCGTGGCTGGGACGTCTCAGGATTTTTAGGATCCCTGAAGTTAAAATTAAGGGGTTATTCTGAGGTAGTGAAAGTAGGAGGGGCGCCGAGACTAGGAGCAGAGTTCTGTGCCAGGGCCTTGGAGACTACGTGAACGAAGTTTGAGTGGCAGTAATTAGGACCAGTAGAGTCCGGGCTCTGAGTGGCGGAGGCGCGAACAATCCAGCGGAGGCGGGGTTCTGCCAGACCCGGCAGGATCGGCACAGTAGGGGCGGGGCTCTGAGAACTGGGGGCGGAGTTATAAGTCCGCGAAGTGTGGAGAGACGCCTGGGGCGGGTCTCCATGGGCGGGATCAGCTCCGGAAGTGCTGTGTGCCTGTAGGCATGGGTCCAGCCGAATTGGGCGTGAGGTTCTGAGTGGCAGAAGCCAAAACCAGTAGGAATCGGGTTCTGCATGGTGGGGCGGGCTCTGTCCTCTGTGGGCGGGGCTCCGCGAGCCGAGGGTGGAGCCCCAGGAATCAGGGGCGGGACCTATTTGGAGGGGTGGGCTCAGGCCTCGAGGGCGGGGCTCCGCGAACTGGATGGGGGGACGGAGGTGGAGCCTAAAACAACAGCAGGCGGGTCCTGTAGAAGGGGGCGGGGTCACGCTGGCTGAGGGCGGGGATAATGTCATCAAGGGCG